CTGTGATTATTTGTTGCTTAAAATTACCAAATTTTATCGTTAAAACTATAAATATACCACTTTAGAGTCATAAATATGAAGAAGGAAATCTAGCATAGTAAGATTTTTATTCGGACATGCTCATACTATAAACAACTGAGTAATGCTTTATCTACACATCTCTTTTTTTTCAACACACGCGGCTACATAACCAAACGAGATACCGATATGTTGGTGATAGCGTTCCCAGTACAATTAATCATCAAAACTTGGCTTTTTTTTATGAAACGGTTTCTAATAAAACCTTCAAACAGCTAACAAGTTATTTCTAAATGAGCCACTATAGTTATACAGTGAGTAATAAACCTCCTACACATCTACCAAAAATCAAAATATTCCCTAGACTGAAAGGATAGGGTCTAGAAACGGAAATTCACCTGTGTCTATCTGTCTGCCTGTCAGTCTGCAATACTTGGTACAAGTGAGCATTTTCGTGGTACAAAGTACCATAGTAGTGGTACAAGTGACCATTTCCATGGTACAAAGTACCGTAGTCGTGGTACAAGTGACCATTTTCGTAGTATAAAGTACCATAGTCGTGGTATAAGTGACCATTGTCATGGTACAAAGTACCACTTTGGTGGTACAGGCGACCATTTATTTGACACAATTGGCTATTTTCATTATACAAATGACCATTTCTGTGGCTCAGTTCGCCATTTCCACGGCACAGTCAACCATTTCTATGGCACAGTTGACCATTCTTATGGCTCAAATGAGCATGTCTGTGTCACAATTGGCCATTCCCGTATTAGAAATTATCATTACTTTGGCATAAATTACAATTTTTAGTCGTTATAGTTAACTAAAGCATAAACTTTTTGATATACATTAGCATATTTCAATATTTTATCTGAAATATTAGTATATATCTATAGTAAATCCCCCTCACATTAAAAGACCCCGGATCTTCTAATTTGTTTGAGCATGTAAATTGTCTAGGGGGGTCTTCTATCAAGGAGGGGTCTTCTAATGCGATTTTCATGACAAAATTTTCAAAATTTTTGAAAAAATTATTTTACATTTTGTATTGCTGTTCTCGCAAAAATTACTTTTTTAAACAAGTACTTATGAGATTATATAATCATGAATTATCATGTGCTTATGTGACGTTTCTCTTGTAGGTGAGTTGTTCTATGAAACACGACATAAACGATCTGTTGAAGTATATGTGGAAGAAATTTGGATACACTACACCTGTAATCCCCCTAAACATCATGACAGATACCCTAAAACATCATCGAAAACCGTGGTAGACACAGAATCTTCCCCCTATCCGCTACAGACTGCGGTAGACTTTGTTGAATTACGATCAAATACCGAATAGTACTAGCATTCTATCAGAATATATAAACTAGTTCCTCTTTGCAATTCTAGAGGATTAAGCAAAGAATGATGATCCAATGTGTTCCAAAATAAATCGAATAAAACAATTTTCATGTGATTATTAACAACAGCTACATTGTTTTTCAAATTTTACTCCCTTAAAGATTTCGCTAGCAGCTTTTTCTGGTATCATCGAGACAGCGTTTATTCGGTTAAATTTCTATGACCGTCTTAAGTTTCGTTTTTTGAACATACGTTAATATTTACCGAAGGACCCAGAAATCTGTTAACGGTCTTGAAAGAATAGAGATGTACATATGTGTACCAAAAAAAATTACAAGCTTTAGATCTGAAAAAACTCGACAGAAATCTGTGTAAAAAGTAGATTATATGAGTGGCATATAGTGTACTTCCCAGCGAATCGGGTCCCTATTCATACTCACGAAAATCATGCATAAAATTGTAATCAAATTAAAGTGATAATTATAAGTTATTACACCGAATTCCGATAGTATTTTTAACCAGAATTTTATAGACTCCTATTAGTAAACGCAGTAATTTTGATGGCTTTGCCCAAGCACGAATTATTGCAACGAAAGAGTCGGAAAACAGCCGAAAAGCTCCCAATTAGCACATGAGGTTTAATGTTTGAACTTATTGCTCAACTCTTTTTTATTGAGACTAGTATAATCTCGTTTTAGAGTAAGAAAAACAAACTATTGACATGTAGAGAACGACAATATTCAAAAAGGACCGTGTAATATCACGCTTCTCCCGGTTCCCTTCAACCGGATAGGAAGTATTTCCCAATCATCGAATGAGGCTGAAAACCTTTTGCGGGCATCGTTAGATTCAAAAACAGAAAAAAAATCAGGAAAAAGTTTTTTCAAATTTCTTCTTGGTAGATTAAAAAATTCGGGTCTTCTAATACGTTTTTCAAATTTTTGACCAAGGGGGTCTTCTAATATGGGGGAGGAGTCTTCAATTACGAGGGGAGGTTTATGTAATATAGAACATGTTACAAAGATTAATAATTTCTCCTAAACTCATCATTATACACAACTCATTTTTTTAAGAATATAAGGACATATTTGTCATCATTGCGTCAGTCTATGGCCAAGTGAATCGACATTCAATGTCGATGAATGTTACTTGTGGGACAACGACGGTGTTTCAATATTTTTATAAGCAAACTTGATCATTCGATGATGATTTAGTGGTGCTGTTTCTGACCGAACTAAGACGTTTGCTTAAAATAATACTTCCTTGGATAGAACACAAAAAGATACGTTTCGAACAATAGCTTGTAGAATAAGCAACATCTTACGTTTGACTAAATATTGTGTACAATCTATTTTTATGACGCAAATACACTTAAGGATGACAATTTCTACAAATATGAATAACTTTCTTTGAAAATGGTAAAACCTACATATTTTATGCTGATTAGAAGCCTATATCAACTAACTTAATATAATGTAATCGTTTTCGGCAAAGTACGTGTGAAAAACAGAGAATCAGAAAAACTTGCGATATACATGTGTGCTTACCAATTACGAGAGAATTCTGCTTAACCAAAGCTTATTCTTGTGGCTGTGTTTTGCTAATTAATTAGGATAAACCAAAAATAATGACTTTATCTTATTTCCATATAGAAAGCTTGAAGAAATTTTCTTTTACTATATAGTGAGAAGAAAACGACGGTCTATTTTTCAGTACCATTTGCTCACTATTGAACTGATATCGTAATAATAACAATTCGATAAGAATAGTTCTTCTGAAAAATATAACGGTTGTAGTAATTCTATGTCAAAAAATCTAAGTATTTTTTGGATAACCTCTCATAGAAACAAGATAGAAAGTTACAGTTTTCAATGTTCGAAAGAAAAACATAAAGATGCATCGAATTTTATATTATGAGTTTTCTACATATGCCGTCTGAAGTTTGTTTAATCAATTTTCAAGTGTCAAAAAATGTTTTTTTTTGTCTTAAGAAGTAAACAGCAAAAGAACATTTTTTCACAGAAGTTGCTAGAAAAAGCACTTACAGTCTCAACTAGGATGCCTGTCATTCTTGAAAAGTTGATTTTAAAACATGTCAACCTTATCCAGTTTTCTAGATCTTTCATTAACAGTT